GGGTGGTGGGTGGTGGGTGGTGGGATGAGGGGATGAGGTTGTCTACGGGGCGTGTGTATGGGTATTGGGACCTCGACTCGAGTTGACTTTATTTGATTTTTCACGGTCGAGCTTGGGACTAGGCTTGGGACTGGGATGGGATGAGATGGGATGAGATGGGCGTTAGGATAGGCTAGGTGAAGGGGTGAGCGAATGATACCTATTTGGAATTTTTGGAATTTTGTGTTTGGGGGGAAGGCGGGGGAAAATGGGGAGGGTCTTGATGTGTATATGAGTCGGCGTTTTATTCTCGTGTTTATCTATGGTATTCGCCTGGTCGCGATTACTATCTTGAGTTGACGTTAGCGTTAGGTTTGAATGCTGATTTGAATGTGGATATAGGTAGGTATAGTGAAAATTAAAGATAGTATAAGACGTGGTAGATAAAAATAAGCTTAGTATTAAAAGGATTTAAATACTTCCTTCTGTGAAAGATTTAAAGGCCTAGGTAGGAAGGGAGGAATTATTGTTTTTTTTTAATCTTATTTTAGTTATAGATAGATATAGACGTAGAGGAATAAATATAGATATATATGTAGATTTAGGGAATATAAGATAGGTTAAGTAAGTAGACTTACTATTTGAAGTATTTAGAATAGGTTAGGTTAGGTTAGGTTAGGTTAAGAAGGATCTACTTAGGTAATATAATTCTCTATTTTTTTAAGTAGGGTTTTAGGGTATCCAAGAAAAGTAGAGTTTTAAACTCGAAGTAAAGAGAGCAAGGGTCTAAGTTTTAAGGGGTTATTTTAAGTAGGTTATTATATTTACTTTATAGAGATTTATTTCGAGTATATATTCTATATAGTATATTTTATATAGAACCCTTTATAGTCTATTTTAAAGGGAAAGGGGGTATTTAGTACTTAGTAAGTTAGTAAGGTAGTAAGGTAGTAAGATAGTAAAGGTTTTATATTAGGTAAGTAGCGAGGGAGGGGGTTATAGTAGGTAATTTTAGAAAGATACTCTTAGGAGTTAATATATCCTTCGTTACTATATATATATTTCTATTCGTAGTAACCGGTAAAGTTAAGGATATAATACCTCTTTACTATAGTATTTTCTACTTAACTAGATAGAAAGTGTTCGCTATTTTAATTATATATTAGACGAGGAAAACAAGTAACTAGAATGAAAATCCGGGAATAATAATTTATTATAGTTTATTAAAATACGCCTAACAAGCTAGCGGTTTTACTATAAAAAGTAAGATGGTTGTTTCTATAATTATCCAGGCCCGTAGAAGATATCGAGTCCCTATCACAAGGAGGGGAGCATTCCATTTCATTGTGTTGGCCTTGATTTTAGTATCAGATGCTACGGATTTCAACAGCCATCTGATCTTAGACTCGTGGATTTTCATAGTAACTCTTAACTAAGATTATACTTGTTTCGTTTCGTCCTATTTTTCACATGTCGGAGAGCTTGGTTTCTGGAAATTGGAATGGTGAGTGGATTGTTTCTGAACATTGGGAAGGTGCTAAGGTATATAGTCCTTGTAATAATATACCATCGGAAAATGCCTCTGTAAGAGACCTGATGTAATAACTGAGAAGAGTCAGTATCTACGTGATACGGATTGAGCGTATCTGGACCCACAGGATGCCAGATGCCTTTTTGACCAGACTGTCTTTATGGGCCTCGTGTGAAATGGGCGTGTTTTAAGGCTAAAATTCCAAGGGAGATGAGAGAAAGGGGTATACCGTTTTTTTAGTAATATTGTAAGTTACTTCAGGGAGAGGGAAATACTAGGATATTTAGGTTTGTACTTGTAAATGGCCTCAAGAATGCCTGCGATCTTTACCTCCAAGATATGTGCCTTGCGTAACTATGCTCTTGCATTCATCACTGCCATTGTGAATTATCTTCGCTTGTGTCTATAAAGATTTGCTTATCTCTCGCTCCGGAAAGCCTTCTTCTGGGGAGGTTGTCCTGAATATGATGCTAGCTTTTTGCAACGAAACTTAGCTCTATCGTTTAAATTGGTCTCTAAAGTCTTTCTGTAAGTAGATATCGATGTTCCTCTTGAATTCTTACGGCTGGACTATCCCTTTGACTTGTGACTTCGATTTTTGAAACTCATCAGCTCCTGTAGAGTTCGCATCGTTAACTACGTTTACTCCCGCAAGTTCAAAAACCTTCAAGGCATCCCCCAGAGAAGCTGTTATCGGGGCCGGAGCGCTGCTGCCATCGAAGATGTTTTGAGGGGGGCTGGTTGTAAGTCTACAATTATCAGTACACTGGCAAACCGAAGTGAAATCGGAATAAGGAACGGAATATCCTAGGTCTTTTCATCCAGTTCACTTCAACCTACCATATGGTTAATTAAATATGCCGCGTGTTTGACGGTCCTTGTAAGAATTCCGATAACATCTTGTCGTCTTAAGATGGGACAGTCCCATCGGTGCCAATGAGGCCGAGATATGTTTGAACTGGAAGAAGAGGAGACATCTGTTATGGTGGGGATCAAGGAATAGATTGTTCGCAAGGAGGGAAGAGAGACGCTCTTCGCACTCCTTAGGTATTTGTCTATCTACGGAAGGGTACACCCGCAACTTCGCTAAGCGAACCCTTATTCACTAAATCAAAAACTGTCACATATGCCTGGGACGAAGTAAAAGTAAGAACTATACTTCTTATGAAGTTTACTTCGAAATATATCCTTGGAATGACGCATTTGCCCCACTCTATATTGCTCCACCAAATTGCTATTGTGGACTGAACGATTTGTTGCTCAGGAGCAACAAATCGTCCTCCAAATCGTGCCAAGACTCGCCTAAACCCTATACAACACTATATTTTATATTCGACTAGTCCTGATGTACGATGTTGACGATCATATTGCGAATTATATAGAGCCTGGATCCCGCGATTTTGCAACTTTATTTTGTCTTGAATAGGTATAGTCTTTTTTGGGGCATTTTGACACCCAAGATTCCGAGTATGTAGGGCCTAAAGCTTCAAGTACTTCATTTATGCCTGGGACGAAGCCCCCGTGAAAGTTACAATCATAACGCCTGTGGCGAAGTATATGCCCATACCATGGCTATGTTTGATCAGGTCAGGATTTAGTGAGTATATCCAATACGAACACACACCTCCCCCAAATTATCACATACTGTGAATAGACAGTCCAGTCCCACTGGACCATTCCAAATACCATCATACTTGTCAGAACATACCAAGAAACGATCAAAGGCGCGGCGGATTTGGAAACACGTTTTCATTCGATGCCAAAAACCCATATTGTGGCATAGTAGAAGTAGTAATCGTGCTCCGAGGACCAACCCATAAAATCCATAGTAAACCCCTGACTCGGAGCATTCTACCTCAAGATATTCGTCGGCTTTTTTAGACACTCAATTACTATGTCAGAACTAAGTTTATACCAATCCAAAGCGTGCATTTCATTGGTGGTTGAATGACTTCGAAACTTTCGAATTGAGCAGACCAAAAGGCTCTGCCTTGGCGAGTATTCTAGTTCTTGATGGTGGCGTTTCTTTTCTCAAGCCACGTACGAAATCTTTTGACTGCATGACGAGCGTAACTTCGTGTGATCATATAACATCCGATTTCATTCCCCATCTGCGACGCAACAACACAACTTTTGTATGAATTCCATATCTTTGCGCTAATGTGGCTGTGAAGTTTTGGTTCAGAATACCATAATTGAATGAAGAAAAACCCTAACTTCTAGTGATCCGAATCTCGAAGTCGTGTTAGTAACACCCACAAGATCAACGTCGTAGTTAATACTAGTCCAACTAGTTGGTGATGCTGTCGATGTGCCGAGAATTGCTTTGAGACCATACTTTCCGAACAATACAAAAGTTCTTTCCAGAAGAGTGAAGTTGTATTGACCTGACCTTCTTTTGGATCCAAAATAGTTGAGTCAAATTCGTCGACGCGGATATACACAATATTTGCATCACGTATGGCCCGACTATCAGACTTCAAACTGATTCGGGCCATTGTATTGGATAATAATCGATAGCTCCTTGATCCCAATAAAATAAAGTCTAGAGAATAAAGTGAGCGATACGCGAGCGTGGAAAATGGTGGCTATGAAGAAGATCGCTGCTGCAGTACAGGTACTTCTTAACCGAACCCCCATGTCTGGTCCTAAATACTACATCTCATCTTCTCAACGACGGATCATGAATTCGAAATTGTCATCCGAGGAAACAGTTACCGCCTGGTGTTATTTTCAGGGTCCCGTCAAAGTATGTAACTCGCGTGGTCGGTTCGAAGCGCGTTTGGCTATAAACAATCAGCAGTCTAGACAAACCGGAACCTGTCTTACCCCCATAATTTCATAGACATAATTAGAATTGGAGTCCGCTCTGAAGTTTCCAATGAGAGTTCATTCGCCGAACTCCATACATACGAAGGAAATTATCTAACCGACTGGTTGTATCTTAAATCAAGGAGGGGGGAATGGATAAAACTGGAATATGAAAATGTCCATAAGCCTATCCTAGTATTCGTACAAGCTAGACCTTCACTTTCAGGACACATATGTCATCTTCCCTTCAGACACTTCGAAATCCAGATACGGCAAGAAGCAAGGTAAAATGCTGCTCAAACTCACTCTTACCATCGCTATCTTTCTGCAATTCTTTGTCTCCACTTCTGCTTCAAAAACTAACCGTGGAGGCCATCCCGCAGATGGTATTTGCCCGGCTAATAAAGGCAGCAATGTACCATTAAGATTCAAGTCAACGTTCCCTTGAGTATTCATATATCTACTCCTCTGTTTTTTAAGTTCTGTACTAATTCCCTTCTGGTAATGTAAATACATCTGCAGTGCCTGTAGACCGAATTGCCTTAGAAAAAATATGCTCGGAGCAGGAATGAGAGACATGGGGATGACTTGCTGCCAAGTGAAGGAATGTTTTAATAATATTTGCTGCTTCAGGACAGGAAGGGTAATTGTTAATATGATAAACTTCACTTTACCATATACTGCCTGATATCAATGTGGGAGCATACGTATACCCTTCTCGTCAGAAAGCGCAAATCATCTAATCGTAACAGATTTCCGCAACTGATTTTGTATACTGCAAAACCCTCTATCTCTTCCAAATTTCACAGAGGTCATATTATCTCACGTCGTTTTTACCTATAGAAAAGCCCCCAAATAGAATCATGCTCCACTTCATCCAAGCCCACACTAAAGAAGTTCTCGCTTAACCCCGCATCCAAAACCGAGAGGGAGAAAAAATTATTTTCACTCCCACCCCCACTTATAAGAACCGCTTTTTACCCACAACCCCTCCATCCCTACACTCCACCGACCCCTCCATCCCACAAAGCAACCAAGGCACAAATAAGAACTTTCCATTCATCAAAAAAGATACCATCAACAGGCCTGCTGGCCCAATGGCAAGGCGCTTGACTACGAATCAAGAGATTGCAGGTTCGATGTAAATACTCCCGAAAACCCCCAAATACGTGTTTAGACTAACAAGTAATAGCCCTGCGTAGGTCACTATATAATTATCCTTCATTTTTTGCTTTTCTTTTTCGTGTTTGTATGCTCACTTTAATTTGAGTTACTTGGGTTATGGTACAATATATTTTCCAGAAAGGAAAGAGCGAGAAGCTTTGAACATATAATGTGCTAAATGGGGACCCGCTTATAGAGGAAAGTGCGCTCGGCTCCTAGAGTAAGTCTTGGTAGAGTTAGACCTAATTAAGCTTATGGTAGGTAGTAAGTTCTTTCGATACACAATTTGAACCCTTTTCACCGTGCCTTTTGGTCGTATTATTAAAAAATCAGGTAAGACTTTCTATATATAGTTCTGCTTAACTCGTTCAGGACTATTATACTCTCTGTCGTAGATACCAGATACCGTAGATTCATAATGTAACCTAGATATACAGCTTAACACCTTCCTGCCACAGAAGAAATAAGAACACACTTTCTTTTATAAGTACCTACAAATTCAGTTACTCTTTTAATATGTCGTGTGCTAAGTAAGACAGAGGCTAGTTGAAGTGACATGCGATGGCGAAGTAGAGGCGAAGGGAACACTTTACCCATTGCTAAAGGTAGTAGGCACAGATACACATAAAATCATGATTCCTCATACAGTTGAAAAGATTGGTATGCTTGTCTTTACCATTATCCCATGGAATACTTTTTGAAAGTTCGACGACCAGCGTCGACCCGAAAGCGACATCAAAACAAGTAGTCTTAAATATCAAGAGTGCAGCCAAGACCTCAAACGATTAACACAAATCCGATACCTGCCCCTCCAAGACGATGTTTCTCTCTCTATAATTTCTTCAATCGTCTCCTTGTAACTGCGACACCATGGGACGCCATTGATCGTCAAGTGTCCAATCCGATATGCGGGTCTTTTCCATTTAGGATTGATCTGCTGGTGATTTTCAAACACTTCTGTGAAGGTCGCCCATTCGTAGATTGCAAGGCCTATACTCTTATAACTTGCTCTGGCGGAAACTATGGACTCGACTTCTGTGGAGCCAGGGTTTGAGGGCTCGAATTGAGCAGGATTCAATACATGAGAAAATTTAAGGCGATGATAGTCTCGGGCATCACTCTCACAATGGAAATATGGCCAATTGGGCTTTCGTGACCTATTTCCGATGTATCTGGATGGCTGGGGAAGTTTCTCTCCAGTAAAGTGTCTGATTTCCAAGAAGATCCGGTAGAAGGTTTCGAGATTAGGAAATTTGAAGAGCAACGACGGTAGTATATGAAGCCTCGGTACCGTTCCCGTAGTATCTGATAGGGGATGATAACACGCCAGAGCGATGTGTTTGACATCTTCCAAGTTCACCCATTTAGTACATTGTTTGAGGTCCTCGCAGCTGCACTCCCCATATGGGGCTCTGAACAACAAGGTATCAATGGGCGGGTTAAACAGAATGTGGATATCCCTTCTTTCTAAGAATACCATTTTGTAACTTGACTGTGCCGCTTTCCTAGAGTCATGACATACGGTGAATACCGATGGTAAAGGTGCTGGGGAATGCATATACTGCGCATCCATGAACCGGCGTATCCGGCGCATCCGAAAATTGATAGTTCGTGGTTCAACAAAGGCTGCAAAATCTCAGATCGCAAGTTGAAGCTCCGAGGGAAGTTGAGGGAATAAGGTGAATGTCGAAATTTGGTCGCTTCACAGTCCATATTTGGGACATCGTGAGATGGGCTTGATCTTATGGCATGTAGTTGTGGCACCTTTCCGATATTTGGACTATCGTCAAGCTGAGGAACAAGATGTGTCGTGGCCACTACAGTCTGGATGGGATTGACAGTGAACGGGCTGGTAGACTGCTCATTTCTGGGTATAACTGGTATGCCCTCGAGCTCAGATATTTGATCTGGGTCGGCATCTTGTGAATGTATCGAAGTTGTCTCGATAGCATTGCTATCCATAGTGCTGGTAGTGTCGAGAGTCTCGACGATGGCAGATTGTTGTTGTAAAGAGTCGGATGGTTTGTCGCTTGGTGGTACGTTAGGAGCTGTTGACAAGTGATTGAAGATGAAGGTAAAGGTAAAGGCGCAGAGCCTCACCACAGGTCCATAGGAGGAGGCGTTTATGGCCAGCACAGACCCTCCATCTGTGAATCACACGCCAGACAGTCATATATTGCGCAAAGTCTGATTTGATTCACGTCAAGCCTCCTTAGGCTCTTGCTTCTGCCTAGTTATGGAATTTGAGTAGAGTCTCAAGGCTCAGCATCCCATTAGATTCCGTTAAACGTGGAACGAACTCTCGCTACATTTGTATACAGTACCCCCTCTATATCTAATGATAATAGTAATATACCAAAAACTACCCCTCTCATATAGTGAATTCTTGGTGGTACTCCTAAACCAAGGATACGTAAAGGGGATGTTTTTATATCACGTGAGGACTACTGACCTACAAGAACTAGCTCCTGGGTAGGAATCTTTAACAACTTTATATCCTATCCTTAGAGTAGGATACGAACGCTAGAGCCCTAGGGCTCTCTTTTTCTCACCCGCCACCATCCCCATTTGTACACCACCATTTGTATCCCTACTGTTGCCTCTACTATTATCTAGCCCTTCTATTTCTGAATAGAAATAGAAAGAGTGTTATAGATTCTGGTGCTCTCCGAACCCCAAGGGCTAGTCCTATTATATATACCCCCTTTACCCTCATAGGACGAACGCGAATATAAAAAGTTGGTATATCTATTAACAGCACAGTAAAACAGGCCATTTCACAAAACAACAATAATAACAAAGAAAACAGTATATCATTTATATACCATAGTCCTTCTCACTTCCACAAAACAACAAGCCAACTAACCACAACAAACACCTTTCCAAACCCTCTTCAAGTCGCCCAACATCCCCGAGGTTACAACCAGATTTAAGTCGAATAACACTATACTCATAGCTTTTCTTCAAGTTCTGAAAGAACCTCCAAATTCGAATTCGAACCGAGGAGACGTTCTTTCAAAGAACAGGTTTCTCAAGAACCCTAGTAAACCAAACTTCAAAAAATATACAAAAACACTAATAGACTCTAACTTAATTCAAATTCCTCATCTTTCCACTACTATTTATACATCTTTTTAATTACATCATTATAATTTAGTGTCCAAAAGGTATATAGTAACAACTCTTATAATTTAGGAGGAACAAAATATCAACGCTCGGCATTTGGAATTCCTTTCCATTCTAGGACCCCCCCCCTTCTGGAAGTATTCCACCTAGATCTCTATAGAATATCCTTCCATTTCCCGAGCGTTGCTTCCCAAGAATAGGAAGTTTCTTCAGGACCCGAAGAGGCGCTTGGTACCCTACCCTTAACTACATAAACCTCCCACTCCCACTCCTACCCACCCACACCCAGTCTCCCTCCCACCCATACTCCCACCAATTCCCCGCCACTCCCAACCCCCCACACCCCAAAAATATCTATTCTCTACCTTCTATCCTCCACCTTCTATCCCCTACCTTCTATTTTCACGTAAACCCAAGCCTAANCCCCGCCACTCCCAACCCCCCACACCCCAAAAATATCTATTCTCTACCTTCTATCCTCCACCTTCTATCCCCTACCTTCTATTTTCACGTAAACCCAAGCCTAAACCCAAGCCTAAACCTGAACCTAAACCCAAGTCTAAACCTAAGACCAAGCCTCTCTACCACCACCACCACCACCACTACCATAAAAGTAAATAAACACACAACCCTACTTCTTATCCCTTATCCTTTATCCCTTATAGAACAAGAGACTTATATGGAGTTATTATCATATAGGAGCCCTGACGTAAAGGGGTAGAATATACTACATACTACACACTACACACCACACGCTACTCCTATAATAGGTAGTAAGACGTGGAATACGGTATGTAGTAGTCATGTGGTAGACATGCAGGTAGACAGGTAAGTATCCAAGGAATCTAAACGAAGGAAAGTAAAGGGAAGGGAAGGGAAGGGAAACGATTCCCAACGACAAAAACCACAAAGATCTAGTTGCAAAAAAAAAAAAAGAAATAGAAAAAAGGATACAGTGATACAATTCTCTCATTTCTCATCTCTCTTCTCTCTTTCCTTCTGCTTTCTTCTGTCTTTCTCACTTCTCCTCTTCTCTTCTATATCTACAAATATTCACAATCCACCCCAGCTCATCCCATCCAACCCTACCCCCAACCCCAAATACCCATTCAGTCCAAAGAAAAGACAACCAAACCATAAAAAGTGACCCCCCTCCATCTACGATTTTACCCTCCCTTCCAATCCCCATCCACCCAAGCCCAATCCTATACATGACACATTAAACATTCCCTCCCCCACCCCCTCAAGCTCTTTCTCTCTCTTCCTCTCTGTCTCTCTCTCTCTCTCTCTGTCAATATTCAGATCACGAACCGCACCACCAACCCAACCCATCTAAAAAAACAAAAACAAAGCAAAACGCCCCCACCCAAAATGAAGAAACCCCCCGGAAATGCAACGACGAAAGCCAATCCAAGTACAAAACAAAACAAAACAAAACAGGGCAGAGCAGAGCAGCACGCAAAGAATATCTACTCCAACAAGAGTACCCCCCCATCAGGGGAAAAAAAAAAAGAACGAGAGCGAGCCCTGGAAGCATCACCAACCAATCAAAAAGCCCATAAAATGCCAAAGTCCTTCATTCATCCAACCCAAATCTCAGAAAGGAGGAAAGAGAGGCGAAGAAATGATGAAATACTCTTGGATTCCCATTCATCCATCCCATTTCACTCATCCAAACAGGAGAGAACCAACCCACAACACAAAAGAGAAATAAAAAAGAGGAAAATCCCACGCTCCATTCAAATGCTCAGATCACATGCCACCCCAATTCCGACCCCCATCCTCATCCCGTTCCCCTCCTCTACACATTCAAGAATCCATCTTAAAAAAGTCCCCACTAGGATCATCAAGATCAAAGAAGCTAGTCGAGTGTTCGAAAACTGGTAATGGCGTGCCTCCCTCCCCAATATAATCAATGGGCTTATACTCAATCGGCGTAGGTTCCCCACCCTCGTCCGCAATCTTGCTCGTATCACTAAGATAGATGGAAGGCGTCGTCTCACCGCCCTCAACTATATTTTGCAGACCCAACTCCTCCACCTTCTCACTCATATGCTGATCCACCGGATTCGGAAGATCCGCTCGTGGTGTCGTACTATTCAAGACACTTTCCAAGATACCCCGATCGCTCAGAGCCGTCGTCGGTCTCAATACATCCTCACCGATGTGGAACTCCCCACCTGGGCCATAAACATCTAACCCGTCTGCGATCTTGCGATTTCGGTCCAGGAATCTGGCCATTCTATTAAATTCGGTCTCCCAGCGCTGTTGGAGAACCATTACTACAGCATCAACATCTTGTGGTGTTAAATCGCGAGTGGATTGTGATGATTTGGCACCAAGAGCTGACAATGTACGTCGAATCGAAGGTCGGTGATCGCGTTTCGACTTGGAGGCATCAAGACGAGTATCGTTCATGGTAACACTTAAACGTCTCATGGATGCATCTTGTTCAGTGTACATGAAAGGAAACTCCAGAATCGAATAATTCGTAGCCAAAGCATTGACGATAATGGTGAAGCCTTGAAGATTGATATCATTATGCTCGCAATGTATATGAGTAAGGCCCCTGTTCTCTTCAAGCACTGATGAAAGAGTGTTTGCACCCTCCATTCCAAGGTTTTGGTGTTCAATCCGCAGAACCTTTAGCGTTGTATTCGCTTTGAGGCCGGTGAGGGCGTGATTCAGCCCGATTCCGAAGCGAGTGACTTCCAAATGAGCCTGTTCTCCAGAGATATCAAGGTCTTCCAATGTCGTATTTTCCGCAAAAACTGATCTTAGGGTATCGCACGTTTCTTGATTTGCATCGTAAGGAAGAGAGGCCTTAGAGATATCCAGTACTCGAATTGTCGTATTTGTCCGCAAAGATTCAAGGATCTGTCTAAAATGGTCTTCCTTCTCAAACTCTATCATGCGCATAACGAGATGGGATGGGGTGTGATTCTCCTTGATAGCCTGGGCAATCTCCCCGACTTCCCGTTGCAAATTGTTGGCGCTGACGTGGAGTTGCAATTCACGTGCTTTACCTGCAGATCTAGCCATAGCTCTCATAAGCTTAGCAACTTGATCTCCGTTCAAATTACATTGTTCCATTTGCAGTACCCGAAGAGAGTTTGACTTTTCACTTGAAAGATAAGCGGCAATTGCATCTAGGGATTTGTCGTTGATCTGGTATCATCAGCAAAAATACGGAGAAAATGTTTTGAAATACTCACTGGAATACCGTTCATGATCAGCTCCTCCAAAGACCAAGACAACAAGACTTCGGGCGCAAAGAGAGGCCGGCCACCAGAGGTTGTAGTTATCCTCGATAAATCAAGTTTCCGAATGCGAGAGAAGCGGCTCATTGATGAGGAAAATCTACCAAGCTCAATGCGACCAGAATTATCCGAGATGTTGATACACTCCAAAGTGGCATTCTGCTTCTCTAAATTCCCCAGAAGTTGAATTATGCCTCGATCGGTCAGACCACATCGTGAACATTCGATGGCTCTAATTCGAGAAGCTCTCTCGTTAAGCGCAGGAACTACATGGAACTCAGTAAGTGGCCTTACTTGGATTTGATGGTTGAACAACTTACTCATCTCCTCCAAATCGGTTTCTCCAAGCTCTACTCCGCTCAACACAATCCAACTGACATTAGTCATTTTCTTGCCGCAGAGCGGAAGTAATGCTGCTACTATCTCGCATCCGGGATCTTTGTCGATCTCTCGACCCTCCATATCAAAAGCATCTGTAGGTCTTCGCCTAGGTAGGGTATTGGTAAAATCTAACCGTCGAAGTGACGATGATTTAAGAGCAAGAGCCTGAACTTCTCGATATAACGCAGATCGAATTTGTGGATTGATGTTGGGATATTTCATGATATGAACTTTATAACGTCAGCTAAATACTCTTGTCTGAGGAATTATTCTTACTGTTGTTACGACTTGTGTAAGCCACATGGTCTGTTCCGTGTTCATCTGCAACTCCATGCATACTATGCAAATCGACATCCTTAAAAGAGATTGAGTGGAAGGCGTTATTGTACCTTAGTGCTCGCATGACCGACAATAACTCAAAGACAGAATAATTCTTCGTAAGTGCTGGTGGATATAGCCGAAATTCAGGGGCGTCCTCCACATCCCAATCAACAGAATATTGAATGTTAGCTGGGTTGCACTGTAAACCTAGTCAGCTGATATTCAAATATAACACCTGAAAGTTTTACACACGTTGTATGCTGAACAATGAGCCACCAAAGTCCTTTCGAATCCGCCGTACTCCTCTTCCTCGGGGATGATAATTCCTTCGTTAAGGGGGGTCTGATCCCCAAGACCTTTGAGCAGGAAGCTACGATCAATCCAAAGAGGTCTAAGGTATTGCCACACTCTACTGACAACTGCAACAATGTCGTAGCTGGCAAAAGCAGCAAGCTCGAGAACTTTGACGGGCTGCATGGGCATTCTTTTAAGAATTAGCGTATGTCCCATAAATTTGACTGAAAAGTTTCCAGCAAATATGGACGGGCGGGAAATCCTACCTGAAGGCTAGTTCGAATCTATCATCTCCACTCAACATATTGATCTGAAAGAGTGACACAATACCATGCGTATGCCGGCTGTTTTTTGGCACCATAAGCCTCCCCGAAGCATCAGTAAAATCCGGTACAGGAACGAGATGCAGGCTATTGATTCCAATGACCATATAGAACACCGTTCCTCCCATTTTTTGCATGTCATCAGAAGTAGAGCTTCGTCCACCTTTGGCTGCTGGCGATCTCCTGACCACTCGGAAAACTTGAAAGTGGTTTGGGTCATAATCATGTAAGCCCTCTAGTAACCGGATAATGTAACGAATGATGCGTTGCGGATAAGGCTCTGTTTGGAGAAGTCTTGCTTTCTGGGCAGCACCTTTTATTGAGGAAAGCCATAAATCTGCATCTGTGGGATCGTAAAGCATGAGTTGAACGGAACCCACGCCATGATATTCCTCATCTAAATACACCACCTCAGTTGTAAAAAATGGCCGGCCGTCTTCTACTCTGTAAGCTGTGACTATTTGTGATAGCGATATCCGACTTTCCCCCTCCGCAGAAACATATGAGTGATTTGATTGAACCTCATGTAAAGACCCAACCGAGTTGTTTGAAGGGTGTCGTATGGACTGGCGGTGGCCGGGAAAGGGAGGGATCGTTGGGAATGTATCCGAGGCGCGTTGCTGGCTTTTGAAGCGGATCAGATGGGTGTCGGTCAGAACCAAATATTCCTTCTTCTTCCTAAACATCCCACTTTCTGTTTGAACCTCGCCATGGAACAGAACCATCTTGTTGTTCGCGCTTGTCGGCTCCAGAGTCGATCCTTCTCCCGACGATTCCGGCCGATAATTGATAAAGTCTTCTACCTCATCTTCGTCCACATATGTCATCGACTTTCTCCCCAAAGACCCAAAGATTGAAGTTGGTCTAGGTTTTTGTAATGTTCGATTCCGCACTTTAGGGGTGTCTCCAGGGCTTAGGGAAGGACTATGCGCGGCATCCTGGCCATGGTCAACATCGAGGTTCAGTAATGGGCCTATGCCGAAGATCGAAGCCCTCTTGTTCAGGTTCTTTCTTTCCTTCTTCTCAACTTCCGCATTGCTGTCATCGTAAACGTCGGTGTTGATCTGCAGCGAGTTCCTGGAAAAGAGGTTGATGCTTTTCCGCCGAAGTTTCTTGGCCTCCTCTCTGACGGATGGCGCCATTTGGATCGATCGATCTTTCGTGGGATTGGTGTTGTGCAGAGAAGTTGGCTGTGTCGAAGCTCTAGATGTATGATTCGGCGACCGCAGTTACAGAGACATCCGGGTATTTTCTCTCGCAGAAGTCTCGTTGACCAGAGACTGAAAATCCCACACCAAAACTTGGGCTGGGAGAAAGAGTATATCTAATGGCGACAAGTAAACAAAAAGGGCCGCACATCAAAGGTCGTGGGCGGCCTGGTGGTTGGTGGCTCGGTCGGAGAGGAATTCGGTTCGCAGAGGAGTCGGTTGGTTCTCTATAGAATCGTGAGAGATGGGAAGGAGCGTCCCACGAACAACCGTCAATTGAAGGGAACAATGGCAATGGTTGAAACTCGGATTTAGAGAAAATGGGTATGACCACCCGACCGCATAATACCCAGATCTAGCAGTGCCGGCGATTATGTTGGCGTAGTGTTAAAGGTATTATCTTACTCGAGTACTCTACTCCATACAATAGCGACAAGACTGCCTGGCGGGGGAGCAATTCGCTGACGAAAGTAATGGCGACGAAGCAGGACTCACTCCATTTCAGCTGGCGTGGTGGTGTAGCGTGGCGAGAGAAAGAATGGTCAAAAAAAAAACATTCACAATCATCAGATGAAGCTTGTGAGATGGTGGGTATGGCTTAGGTTTACGGACATTCACTAAGATCTGATTATGGAGACTGTACGGAGTACTTGGTACTGTGCTCCCCAGGCGCTTGCAGGTGCTGGTGGGGGCCACGCCCTCACGCCCACTCCGCCAACCTGGAAGTTGTGCATCCCGCCCCGCTGATTGGGAAAACATCATTGCATCCCTGTCACGAAAAACCGCGGACAGGATTGGTTGGTGAGGGAAAAGGATGGAACGACGAACCATGCGAGGTGTAGGAATCGAAGGAGAATACGAACCCCTTCTGGCGCCATGCCAGATCTGTCTATTATTAATCCGGCAAGCATCACACGCCCTGGAAAAATAGAAGACTCCAAAAACTCTTGATCGGTAGAAAAACCCCGGGGATTTCTTTGAATAATTGCTCGAGCGGCGAGGGCCCTTCGTTTCATCCCGAGACTTTATTTCGCTTAGATCCCTTTCGATGATCTCAATATCTTACCAGAGTCTGTACTTCTGACAACTGACGTATGCGGCCCTGTGGTCCAAAAAAAGCGACAGTAAATACTCCGTAGGCCGCTTGTTATTGCACACTATCACAATTAAATCTACTATTGTTCAATTGTTTTTAGACTTATAAGTAAAGTACGAGTAATTAACCGAAATCTATATGTTTATCCTGGAAGATCTCAGTCAACCACATAATGAACCTAGACCTGAGGAATAATAAGAGAATGGTTGGCTACTACGGGTATATATCTCTGTTCCCATGAATTACTAGAAGCACTACGAAGTAGAAGCCAGGTCCCAAAATAGAGCACAGCCGACCTACCCTGTGGGTGGACAACCTACCCAGGCTCGAGCCAGGTTATCTATAATCTTCCCCCCTAACCAGGTTCCAAGCCGTATAAACCAGGCTATGGGTTTTTTACAAGATCCCACCACAATGGTGCGCTATAGATGGTTATAATAACTTATTCTAATCTAGAGTTGAAGTCACAAGCAGTAAAAAGGGTAAGAAAACAGCCACGAAGAACAACCCACTAATAAAGCATTTTCTCCTTAGGAGCAATTTCCATATCAGCCTCTCCGGGTGCTTTCTCTCCTTTCATCGTCCCTCTAACAATAGCCGATCCCTTCACAGCATACCCTCCTCCCACCCCTTCAATCCAAACCTCGAATTTCCGCGACACGGGATACTCAGAAAGAACCTTGTTTTTATCTTCCTTTACACAGACAACCATTTCCTCATCAGCATACAAAGGTGCCAAGTTCTTATAATCCAACCGCAAAATCTCCTCGTTGCCCACAAGCTGCCCTCTCAGAACGGACAACATAAAGATAACGGATAGAGGCCCGTGAACTAATAGATTTCTTCGGCCTTCAACCTCACGGCAGTATTGACGGTCAAGATGAATGCCATGAGCATTGAATGTTAGTGCTGAAAATCGGAAGAGAAGAGCTTGAGTTGGCGTTATTGGGACCCTGACATCAGCTTGATAAACCGCTGTGGCCACACAAATTAGTTAACGATCACTCTCCTCTCAAACGATTTCCCAGAAGGTAGGTACATACGTTTAACCACTCGGTCCGGCATCTCCGCATCCCTCTTCGCATCCTCAGCGCTCTTCTCCTTCATAAAAACCAGATTCCTCAATTCCAACAATCCGTGCCCCGCCCCCGAGGTTTGGGAATTCGCACATGGAAGCTCCATCGCATCAGACGTGCTTATATCTCTCGCAATATTCACAAAAACCTTTTCATTTTCTCCTTCTCCCTTGGTCGTCACATGTTGGATCTTTTCTATACAGAACGCTCTTCGGCCATCAAGAACCAGTGAGTTTTGGGGGTAGAAGCCACTGAGCTTGAATTGCAAAGAACCACCAGCCCACATTCGTCGTACATATGGCGGGCCTGGAGACTGGAGAGGATCGGTTCCATCCGGGAGGAGATCTCGACTCAGGACTTGAGGTGGGAAGTACACCAAATGATGTCCTGGTGGTAATGTTATGGCATGGCGGCTGAGGGGCAAATCTGATGCTTGGAAACCAGGAGCGTGATATTTGGGTGGCAGAAAATCAGCTAGAGTAATGTTGAGAAGGTGAGAAGGGGTTGGCGACAGATCGTCGAATATGTAGACGGGGTCACGTTGAAACATATCCTCATGTTTGAATCTCCTTGAGGGGACGTTAAAGATGCGAGTACATCGTTGCGCCCCTCGAAGTGATGAGAAGCGATTCATTTAGACCAAATAACAATGGTCAATCATTGACACAAAATGTGCTACTCAGGAGTTGTGTTTTATGTACGTACGAGTACTCGATACTTGCATTGAATTCATGAGATCAGCCAGAATACCTGAGTATACATGCCGCCATGCGAGAGCAGGGGACCTCAGCTTCAGAGTCGGTTGATACTCGGAGCTACAGCTCTTATCGATAAGACCTGGACTTCAACTTTCTCAAATATCTCTTCTCCAATCTTCATCCACATCCTTCGAAATCTCCCATCCCAATTTACTTGAGCCAAGATCATGACAGATCCAGAGACACAAAAACTCAATTTTCTCTATGCCCAACAAGTTTATCATCCCAGCTACCCAGCCATCTCCAATCCTCCGCATGTCTCGCAACTCCCTCCAGAGCCCCATTGACCTTTCCCAGCGGATCATTCAACCTACTTCCCTCAAACTCGACAAAGAAGATATACTGAAACGGAACCACCTTGGTCGGCCGGCTATTAATACTCGTCAAATTCAAATCATAATACCTAAAGCTGTCCAGGACCTTGGCCAACGAGCCCGGAGATCGATGATCAATGGTAAAAGAGATCAGGGATTTGGTCTTATTCTTCGACTTCTTCGCCTCCTCATCCACCCCCTTTCGAATAATCAGAAAGCGCGTGGTATTATCTGCTCTATCCTCAATTCCTCTCGCTAGGACATCGAGGCCATGCATCTCCGCTGCTAAGCTGCTGGCGATTGCTGCGCTGGTACCCGTCGTATCCTCACTCACCATTTCGGCCGCGCGACTCGTGGAGCTAACATCGATACGTTCAATTCCCTTCAGGTAGGCACCTAGGAAAATATCGCATTGTCCCCAAGCCTGGGGATGTGTATAGAGTCTCTTGATATGCTTGAGATCATATAAAGGCATCGTCCGCGGTGGAATGGGCTTCGCATTCGCAGGAGTTGGTGTGCCAGGCGCAGAATCGGGTTGCGAACTAGCGACACCGCGAGCACTCTTGCGACCAAGTAGATAATGGCTGACATCGAGATAGGCCTCTGCCGTCACCGTGATATCGGGAAACCGTCCATGACGATCTGCGAGTAATTCGAAAGTAAAGATAACCGCCCCATTCGTGGAATTCTCAAAAGGTACAACTCCTAATTCCGCCTCGCCAGATTGCACAGCCGTGAACACATCTGCCGTAACCCCGTGTCAGACCCGACAATCCCGCAGATGAAAAAATATGAAAATACAAAATATATCAAGACATGTATTACCTGTGATACTATCCGCGGGCTCGTAGTTATACCGATCGGCTTCGAAGCTCGAGAGCGCCGCCTGCGCAAGATCGAAATCGGTCAGTCCACAGGACCAAGGGGGACGCATAAAATGACTAAGAGTGTAGACTACCTGATGAGTGTATGAAGAAATGGGACCCAGGAACGAGACGACGGGGATGCGCAAGGCATCATCCTCAAATGCTTCCGGGAGTGGTGGCTGCATGTTGATGGATGCGCATGGCGTTCCGTTCGTAGAAGCGTCGTCCGTCGATGATCGAGGGTATACAAAAATCCACAAATCGGTAAAAGAGTCTTCTTGGAGAGAACCTATAAATCCATCTGGGATCACAGGGTATCCGTGCCGATTGCCGCGCTTGTGACTGCCCTGAGGTGCTCGGCGAGCACGATGGCTATGGTTGTTACACGGTGGCAGTGAAGCAAGTGAAGCCTAATGTTTTTTTTCTGCTTGAGTACCCGGCTTCAAATCCTGATTGGCGATATCGGGATGCGGGGTAATTGACCCCGCCCCCACCAAGGCGAGGAAACAATGAATAGCTAGCTACTCGTACGAGTACAAAAACATCATCTCGACTACTATCACTTAACCTAATGTAAATAAAATACTCTCATTCCAAAAGACCCGAGTACTAAACACTCATTACACCTCAAGAATTTTAGAAGCGCTGGCGTCAGTGACGAAGATAATATACTCTCCACAACTAATCGACCAGTCTATTACTCTTAACACCTCTTCAAGACCCACCATGCTCGAATCCTTCATATAATACAATCAACTAAATCTTTTAAGCCACTTCGATCACTCTACATATATTATTTGAATTTATTTCAATGACCCCAAATCCCTCCCATAACTATTTTCATTATACGAGACTTTTAGGATGGTGTTCTTCTAAACTATCACGGCCTACCTAGGTATGTAAAGAGTTATAGATAGGTAGGTGTCTTACAGTACTCGTAACATACGTTACCACGGCTTTCCAAACCATCTCGCTAAGGGAAATTCTATTGTTCTACTAGATACCTACCTAGTAAGCCAGAGCGCATTTACATCGCTATCTCTATTCTGGCAAATATCTCTATAAGCGACGTCTAGAAGAGGGTACTTCAAGCCTGGCCTGAAATCATATCAAACTCTAAACCTACGCTAGGTGTAATCTCGCTAAGCATGAAAGTCGGTTGGCATAACTCGAGTATGAGAAGAAAATGAGTTCTCACGAACGTAACGACACGTCGACTAGCGACTGGTAATCTTCCATTCCTGGTTATATCACTCTTGATCTCCTTTCAGCAAACCACAATCTAGAAAATGACAACGATGTAATATATGGCAGCAAACAAGGAGCTCCCCAAGACTTCACGCTCTCCGTAAAAAAAGAAATCTCACACCCATCCTCGATACTCTCCTCCATAACCCATTAGCATCTCAACATACACTCCCACTAATTAAAAAATCAAGCCCCCAAATCATAATACACACAAAACCCCGTGCGAAAGTTATAAATAAACGCACTCCTACACGCTCCCTTCCCACCCGCACCTCCACCGCCATTATCGACATAACTCCTCTTAAGCTCCGCCATCAAATCATGCAACCCGCCAATATACTTCCGGTCCGCCGTGGGAATAGCATGCATCACCTTCCTCCAACTATCTGGATCACTCAATCGCGTTTCCCTCACCATCTCCATAACCTGATCCGTCGTCTCGATCGCGGCAATCGGTCCGTCGAGGAATGTATGTACCAGACTTGAAGCTTTGGCTTGTGCTTGCTCGACGATGTTTCGGCGGTTGGATTTCTTGCTTTTCGTTCCGGCGACGAGGAGACGGACGTCTTGTTCGTGGTCGGTGGGACTCGAGGTTTCGGCTTGAGAGATGTGCCGGAGGAGCTTGCCTCGTGGGTTGTTTGTGGTGGTTTCTTTGGTGTCTCGGTCGCGGATTTCGGCTTTGAGCCAGGGGATTAATGAGGCTGAGGGGATGTCGGTGTCTCCTGCTTCTTTGCGGTCCATGCTTTTGACTTTAAATATAGAATCTTGTTTGATGGTGATGATCCAGGAATGTTTCTCGTCTCGGTATTGAGAAAGGAGGTCTTCCGGGGAGCGGCAGTCTTGTGCTAGTTCAGCGCTGATGTCTTCTGCCCATAGACTCTGGACGACTTCAATGCCTGTACTTCGGAGGATGGCGGGATCGTGACTGGCAACAAGGACATCACACTGTCACGGGAATTAGTTTGGTATGGACGGAAAGAATAGAGTTCTCGTACCCGTTTAGTGCTCCAAATACCATCTTCTTGCCTCTTAGCGGTGGCTTTATGTCCAGCCTTAGGATGCTTCACCAGTCTTTCCAACCCCAAGTTGAAGCCTACCGCATGTCGTTGTTGAAAACTCGTACCAATTCGATGGCGATGCTCTTTGATCAAAGAATCATATCTGCCGCCAGCAGCAAAAACATCCTTAGCTTTCTTACCATAAAGGCACGAAAATACCAAGCCACCTTTGCAAAAACGTTCCTTGATGCTGCAAAGTGGGCTGATATAGATCTTGCTCCTTACTTGAAAGCGTTTTGTATACTCGACGACTTCCCTGAGATGAGCTATTACCGACGAGGCTTTATCAAATGTATTGGTCCCTTCGAACAGTGCTTTGATCTTCTGGAAAGCTTTGTTGGGAGTATCTGGTAGGTTTTAGTATAGTACCTCACAAGTGCATTCATCGACTACATAATCTTACCTCGGAAGTCAAAATTCTGCAAGTCATCAACACTAGTGGAAGACGCTCCAATAAGCGGCGATCTGAGCTCATTTTTGATCTTCTGCCAGCTCCAGGACCCTACGTTGAGTTTGCTAAGGGTCTCTGAAACTTTCTCACGTATCGTTGGTTCTATCCTACAATGGTCAAAGATAAGACCAAGAAGATCAGAGTGGTTGATATGGAAACACATGTGTGTAGAATCAAGGGTTGGTATATTTGAGACAATCTCATCGAGAACCTTGATCACCTCCGCTTCTTTCAGAGCTAAATCCAATGCGTCGAGTGAAACAATATCAAAGTCCACCTCGTCAACAGTTTGTGGTTGAGCGCCTGATTGACGATCCCGGAAGACCGAACCAAAAGCAAATGATCGCAGGACCCCAGGTTCGTGTTTCGCCAGTGAGCGAGCATGTGTCAGAGTAAGGTCGAAAGGTAATTGTAACAATGTGCCATTCCCGTCCAGTAACTGAACAGCATTTGATCCATAATGACGAGAGCGTGGGAACAACATGCTACGAGGAGTTTCCACAGCTCCGTGATGGCGAAAGATGGAAATTAGTTTTTCCTTCACGAGACCGGAGAGCAACAAATCACCGGAGCTTTGGTTTATGGTATCCATATCCCAAGCAAAGTCTTTCGCCTGTTTGTTTGGTGTTGAAAACAATGTGGACATCATCTTTCGATGATATGGATTTTCGGAATCTGCAAGACCCGCCAATGCGCGACTTACTGTCTCGCTTTCCATTTGTACTGGAAGTTTGCCACCCTGTAGTAACTCGGAACTAGAAGGTCGTACTTTTGGACTGGCGTTGAGAAGAGAGAGAATGATTTCATACTGAACGGCTTTGCCAGTCTTATCAAAGTCCTCTGGCACAACAGGCATTTTCATTCTCAAATTTTGGCCGACCGCAGCTCTATCCATTCCAGGTACTAGTGGTCGGTAGCACATCTCAAAAAAGATGACTCCAAGCGAATACATATCCACTTTGCTGGTATATGAACCTGCTCCAGCACTAGATGATACCTCAGGGGCAACGTAAAATGCTGTCCCAACACTTCTTGTCATCTCCCCACTCATTGTTGTAGAAGACGTTGATCTGTCTGCCATTGAGTACTGACCACTTGTGGCTAGGCCGAAATCACCAATCTTGACGCTAGAAGTGCTGTCGATGAAAATGTTTTCAGGTTTAAGATCTCGATGCACAATATTCAAGCCATGAATGTGTACAAGTCCCTCCAATATTTGCCGTAGAAGACGCCATATTTCATCGTCTTCCCTGTGGAGGCCTTGCTTGATGAGATCTCGTAGGGTATGCTTTTCGCAGTATTCCATGGAGATATAAAGAATGGTCTTGAAAGGGCGTCCATATCGTGAGGTCGACCTGCGTCGTCTTACAGAAAGCTCGTTTCTGCTTTTAGTATGTCCAGTGCTGTCCTGTTCATCAGCGCTCGTCGAATCGTCGTCCTCGTCATCTTCATCATCCTCGATGGCATCAGAGTCATAACCAAATTCGATATCTGCATAACCACCGTTTGATGACATGAAATCCAGACCACCAGTGCTAGCTTCAAACGCAACATTCAGTGCTGTTCTTGGAGATAATTCTTCGCTAGAAGAAGGATCAATTGTTCCTACATCGGTGCTTGTCTGGTCATCGTCTGTTTCGTTGGACATCTCAAAGGTTTCTTCAGTCCAAGTATTGTAATAACCTAAAACAATAGTGATAAGCACAGGTTCCAAGAAGTTACGCAGTTATTAGTAATGAGATAGCTTGTTTCTCCCGCATGGAGTGGCATCGAAGCTAGAGTAATCAGGAGGAGAGGGGTGTTCTCGCAGTCTATGCACGAAATTCAGATGCCCATGAAACATGATTCGGACATACACCAAAAGATTTGACTAAGGTCCGACAACTGAGAAACCAAGATTGAAAATTTGACTTACGGACAACTGATGGGTGACTCAATTGAGACAATAGGCGAACTTCTTTAATAACCTCTGTCAATGATTCAGACGATTTTTGTGTAATCTTTTTCACAGCGTAAATTTGACCGTCGAGTTTTTTTCGAGCTTTAACAACTTCACCGAATCCACCCTTCCCAAGTCGGCGCTCTTCTACGAAATCCTCCTTATATCTTGATACAGGACCTGTATATGCGTTCATGGAGTCATGTCTTGGTCGGCGTGGCGTGAACACTTGAAGAGATGTTATTGAACCTAGCCTGGATGCAATTGGGCTAGCTTCCGAGTCCAATAGTTCAGCATCCGTTGCAAGAAATTCGGAAGAACCCAATTCAAATGCGCGAGGCCTTCTTTTTGGATCTGACTTGAAAATTTTGCCAATGAATTCAGCGAAAGAGTCGGAAAGAGCGAGGGTGTTGGCAAGCGAGTTAGGTGACGTGTATTTTTGGATAATTGTTGGACCAAAGGCCATCTAAGCGACGTGAAATTCGAGTCAGTCTAATTCCTATACTCGTACAGAGTTGATCGAACAGGTTTCACAGTGTTCGGTGAGACATCATTTTAAGCTTCTCGGGGAACAAAGCGCAAATTTCTCATGCTCTCGCAAGACAATATACTAGAGTCATAGAATTGGCAGAGGATTACTTAGGGTGGGCAGAGCTTACCTGAAGAAACATGATACCAAAGTCCCAGATATCGGTTTTCTGTGTATATTCAGGATGTATAGTATTTGCTATTTCTGGAGGCAGCCAGTAGGCGGACTTTGCAACCGCAAGAGTACCCTTTGCCGATTTATGGCTACTCAGATTGTGCAGTTTTCTTTGGAATCCCGCATCCGCTAATTTTGGCTTAACCTCTCCGTTTTGTTCCCGGACCAAGAGTATGTTTGCGGTGTGAATATCTTGGTGGATAATACCTTTTTCATGAAGAAATCGTAAAGCATCGAGTAATTCAATTGTCCATGAACGAACTTTGCTGATACCCAGACTGCCAGTAATGTCCAGAAGCTCCTCCAAAGATCCTTTCTCGGCAAACTCGGTCAAGATGCTCACCGTCCAGGTAGAATATGAACTCAATTCTTCGTCAGCCGACTCGGTGGACTTTTGCACCTTGAAATCAAGTAAATCAAGAACACCTTGATGTCTAATCTCCTTGAGCGACTTTAATTCTGTTTCAAGTATCTGCAGCTGTTTTTTGAAGACATTCTGGTCTCTGGAGCCAGCGTCTAAATCTGCCTGCTTTAATGCCAACGTTGGAGCATCAACTTGATGGGCAACAGGTCTTACCGTGAAGCATTTTGATACTGATCCCTGACGAAGAAAGACTTTGCTTGTCACTGCTTGAAACACGAAAGGGTCGCCATCAATATCTGCGAGAGTGATGGGTTGCTGAAATTTAAGCTCGCTCTGAATTTTCTTGATTCCGTTACCACTAGATCCATGTGATACCAACATCCCAGGTGGACTGTAACAAAATACAAAAGTTAGTTTACCTCCTCAATAGTTACGAAGCAATTTGTTTGCTCTATCGCTGTAGCAAGGTTATAGAAAAGACTACAACATCTAGAGCGATCGTGTGTACTCTTCCAGGGATTTCGGTACAACAAAAGTGCCTCAAGAAGCTAACTTACCGAGTCTTTCTTTTGGTGTTTCTTGCTTTGGCTTTTTGGCGTTTAAGTTCATCTTCTACCAAAGAGCCCAGCATACGCTCTTCTTCTAAGTTTTCCTTTTGCTTTTTGCGCATATCCTCTTCATTTTGACGCTCGGCAAGCTGTGCAGCTGCAAGTTCGTGGGCAGCGCGTTCTTCTTCTAAGCTTGGTAACTCCATACCGGCAGCCTTGGCTTGAGCAGCATCCTCAAGGACATCTTGACATGCATTCACAATTTCCATAATCATAGCTTGCTCCTCAGCAACTAACTCTTTAGGTTTGGTCTCAATAATCTTTTGAAGCTTGAAACGAGTTGCCTCACGAAGATGAGCCTCTCCTTTGAGTGTCAACAGGGGGGGACTTTTTGGATATGTAGCGGTGAAGACAACGCAAAGAATGGCCGAAATGTCATCATTAGATGATTTTATGAGAATCTCAAAGTGTGGTTCGGCTTTCTACAAAGACTCAGCTAGGAGATCTTATCAGGTTATATGGGTCTACCAACCTTCCACGCTCCGTGATTGGTTTCTATCCTGCGGAAATCGTCGCCATATATTGCAGCCAACGCGAAAAGCTCCTCATCTTGAATCTCATCATACTGAGTTCTTGGTGGGGGCTTCCCCTTTCCATCGGGCTGTACGCGAGGAAGGGCAGGAGATGGTGCTATATTTTGTGGTGGTTTCTTTCCCCAAGGACTAGACGGCGGCATCTTGATGATGATAAGATCTCGGCAAAGGGAGGGACTTTCAGATCTGGGTGAAGATTCCGAATGGTTACACGCAGCCGAAGCTGCGAGACCGCTACGTGCTGGGGTTGAACATAATGCTGTGAGTGAATGAGTGAGTCGTTGTTTTGATGGAGAGAAAGAAGAGTCAACGACGCGAGACGAGGCTGTGGTAAAGTTGAAGGCTGAGAATGATGCGTTGCTTGCCCCGCATTCGTGCTAGGCCGAAAGGGGGTATTTCCCTGCACGAGGCTTTTCCATTCTTATGACTCCAAAAAATCTCAGAAATCACCCAGATGGAAGCAGACACATCAATTGCTTAGTCCTTCGAAGCCGCCAGCTCCAGAAATCAGCTCGAACGAATCGCAGGGCCATTGAGCCAGTCTACGACCAGCAATGGTTCTTCGAATCCCCCCCACGTCTGCTTTGGCACGCCTAACCACACGACCAACCGTATTTCAAACCTCAACCTTCGGTGCTCGCTATTATAGTGCACCAATGGATGGCTCGATTCCAGCAGCAAAATTGAAATATGTGCCCTCGAGCGGCACCTATCCCAAGGGATTTCTTGTCTCTGGGACGCATGTCGGAGTCAAGCCCACCAACAAAAGCACCCCAGATCTCGCTTTCCTGGCTTCAGAAACACCATGTGCCGCGGCAGCCGTTTTCACAAAGAACAAATTCCAGGCTGCTCCGGTGACTCTCAGCAGAGAAATGCTCAAGAGGAGGAGCAATGATGGGGTTCGAGCTGTCATCATCAACTCCGGATGTGCTAATGCGGTGACCGGGAAAGGTGGACTGAAGGATGCTGAGAAGATGGGTGCTGAGGCCGATAGGTGTTTTGGTCAGTCCGACGATGGGAAAGGTGGGAGTACTATCGTCATGAGTACTGGAGTCATTGGTCAAAGGCATGTTGTCTAAGCTCTCAATGCAGCCCTGGCTAACCGGACTGCAGACTACCTATACAAAAGATATTGCGTAAAATCCCTTCCGGCTATGATTCTCTGGGGTCCTCTCACGAACATTGGCTAGCTACTGCTCAAGCTATTTGTACCACCGATACTTTCCCAAAACTCATCTCTCAAACTTTCACTCTACCCTCTTCTCCTTCGGTCGAATACAAAATAGCTGGTATGACAAAAGGAGCTGGAATGATCCATCCAAACATGGCAACTTTACTTGGAGTAATTGCTACGGATGCCCCGATTGCCCCAAAGCTTTTACCAACACTCCTTACAGACGCTGTCAACAAATCTTACAACAGCATATCCATTGATGGCGATACATCCACCAACGATACAGTAGCAGTCCTGGCAAATGGTGCCGCAGGAGGAAATGAAATTTCTGCGGCATCTTCAGAAGACTACAAAAGCTTTCAAAGCACATTAACCGAATTTTCTAGGGAGCTCGCCAAACTTGTGGTGAGAGATGGGGAAGGAGCTACTAAATTTGTGACGATCCGTGTTACTGAATCTGCTTCAGAGAGCGGAGCTAGAAAAATTGCTAGCACCATAGCAAAATCACCATTGGTCAAGACAGCACTTTACGGAAAAGACGCAAACTGGGGTCGTATACTCTGTGCTACTGGCTATTCCCAAATTTCGGAACCAGGGATGCCTGATCATGAGGTTTCTGAGATTATTCCGGAAAAGACCAGTGTTTCCTTTCTTCCAACAGATGGGTCTCCTGAGCTGAAGTTGCTCGTGAATGGAGAGCCAGAAAGTGTAGACGAGGCTCGTGCAGCAGAAATTCTAGAGCATGAGGATCTTGAGATTTTGATCAAATTGGGTGCAGGTAAGGAGGAGGCCGTCTACTGGACTTGCGACTTCAGGTAAGTTTTTCCGCAATAAACTCTTATGGTGGCTAACAATCAGTAGCCACGAGTACGTGACGATTAATGGAGACTACCGCACTTAATTCTAGATTTTCCTGGTTTGTTGCCTTGGCCAAAAGTTATTTGTGAGGAATATTAATGAAGAAACGAAAGCGTGTATACCAAAAATAATACTTCACAGAGTTCTGCATAGAAATTTCAAATTTACCATCGAATAAGCTTTCTCTTTTTGATCTCTTTTCTCGCCCCTGAAATCTTATTTCCCGGCTTCTGACAACAGCTCTCAATTACCAGCAAGGCCTTGCTGGAAGCTTTTGTGGATAAGAACGTATTTTGTAAAATTGCGTCAAGAGAGTAGAGTAAGTGACTTTTCATATATTCTCCGAATCCACTAACAGTGCGATTTTGCTTTACTCACAGTGAAATGACGCACACCCATCCATTAACCCAACAAGACCAAACTTCGTCTGAACTTCCTACCCATAGCTTCTCGAAGCAAAAGCTAAGTCAGACCTATACTGAATTAGTATGTGATTGTGATTTACGATCTACGAATATATTCTGCGAGTTGTGCTTCCCTCGGTCAAGCCGCTGTGGTATTACACCTCCTCTTCAGTCTTGCCTTTGACAACCGTCAACAGCTCCCTGGCAATACAACAAAGCGAAGCGCAATGCATCCAAATCAACTCCTTTCCGATAACAGTCGTCACGCGTCGAGAGCAATGAGATTGCCAAGATCGTGGACCGTGGCTTTATTGCGAAAGACTCGACCCATCCTTAAGAAGCTGGGTTTTAAGAGATGCTAATTACTATCAAACAACGGACTGGATACTTCAACATTCACATTCTTCCCCCAACTTCCACCAGAGCTCAGACTTGCAATCTGGGACTTTGCAGCCTGTGTCGAACCCCGCCTCTTGGAATTTAGCTCCCAACTCATATTCCCACTTGATGAACCGGCTTGCATTGGTTATATTTTCTCACGAACACCCTTGCCCTCAATACTCTCCATATGTTACGAGTCCAGAGAGGTTGCACTTCGCTATTACATAACTTCTTTCTATGGACGAAGAGACATTTTCATTCGCTACAATCCGGCCATTGATACCATACTATTTGGCTACTTGAAGTCTTATGCTGTTGAACTTAACTGGTTCAGTATGATTGAAGGCCATGAGCATGTCAGGTATACTGCTTATTCTTGCAAATCTTATGAACATTGGCAACATGTTCCATACTCTAGCGACATTGATATGAGACTCAAATGCCTAGCTAGGTTTCCTCATTTGGAGACCTTCTGCCACATTTGGTACGACCGGAGACCTGGACTCGAAGAATTCCCCAGGTCCCATCCGTATAGAATGTATAGAGCTTATTGGTTTCACACGACCCAGGGGTTTAGAAGAAACGGTAATCTGCAACTCGACCACGTCCTCACGCTCGAAGACCTTGAACGCCACAATGCTGGTACCGACGAAAATGAAGCGTTGGCCGGTGCTAGGGAGAGTTATGAGGATTTCGAATACGTTTCCTCATTCATGCCTATGCTGTCGGGTATTCTCGAGGGCCAAGAGAAGAAGACTGCCGGGTTCAGAAAGCCTGCTCTTCGGGCTGCTCACTTGCCGATAGATGGGTTGCCGTATTGTCATAGTTACAAAAAGACTGTTCAAGAGCAAGGCATTAACCCGGGGGGCGCGGGGACTTGAACTCGGTCTAATGAAATATCGACCAAGTAAGAAGAGTTCATAAAGATCAATGAGGGGATTGTGTTTGCTTGCAGTGTGTTTCTTCTTCTCTGCGCTGCGGGTTTTACAACGCTTTGGTGTAGGCGCTGGTCGTCGTGATATTCAATCTTCTACATAATTTAATACTAAGTAAACAGAATACTCTGCGTTGTAGGGACTCACTTACGTGTTGCGTGGTTATGTTTACTGATTACTACTTCTGGTCATGCTTGAACCGTGTTCTAGGCTTCTGATCACTTACCTGACTGGGATGATGTAAGCTGGTCACACGACCATGCTACATCAATACATTGTGGGAAGATCTGGTCCTAGGACAATATCCTGGCGGGGTGAGGCACTGATCAAGCGTGAACTTGAGCCGTGGGGTAGGTTACGAGGATTTGGTAAGTGGGGTTGGGAAGAAAGACGACGATGGTACGATGGCACGATGGTCTCCTCTTCTCAATGCTACTCGTAGGGTACAATAGAGGCTGTGGTTCATCTGCTCCATGGAATGCATCAGGGTTTTTGGAGGTGGGATAGCAAAGAAATTCTGCTCTTTCGCAAGTTTTCGCGCAGCGGACTGCGATTTGTACTCGAGTATGCGCAGATATGCGGTTCTGTACTGGTTTGAGTAAGCTAATAATATTCAGGAAATGATACTTGTACTAGGAACTGGACAGTCGGATATAATCATGGAATAGGAATTTAATGGGCCAAGTACCAGATCCAACTATCGATCGCTCCTCAGCACAAACTAGGTATGGCTTCAGTAAGTCAAGTACTACGTTGTTTTAACGGATCTCGTTCACGGGTATTCCAATCTTTAAATGGAACAATTTTTGGTATATAAATGTGAGTATCAGGACAGTTCCAAAGATCTTCTACAGCTACAGCTCAAGGTCTTTCTGTTCTGATCCTCATCTTCTTCAAAATCCTCAACCATGGCAGCTCTTTTCAATGCAGGCCTTCTGGCCCTCAATGCAACTGTCAACGCAATAATGCGAGGTGTCGTATGGGAAGGTAATCCCTTTAACATCGTAGTCAAAGATGTGCCTGTCCCAGTGATCATAAACCAAACCGATGTCATCGTCCGTCTTACAACGGTCGGTATCTGCGGTTCCGACTTCATTTCTATCACGGTTTATTCAGCGTACCTGGTTCTCAGATCCCATGGACGATGGGCCATGAAGGTGCGGGAATAGTGGTTGAGACTGGGAGTGCCGTAGGTGGGGTAAAGGTCGGGGATCGAGTGATAATTCCTGATACTGCGGATGATGGACATGTTCATGGAGGACTATCACCTCCGAATGGAATGCTTTTTGGGAATGGGCAAGTTTTGGGTGGTACTCAAGGTTTGTGATGGCAATTGATACACCCAAGATACTTTGAACAATTGAACTGATGAAAATACACAGCTAAATACGCCAGGGTACCTTTTGCCGATGCAAATCCCTTACCCATTCCTCAGTCTCCCTCTGTGGGCAATTCATCCGCAAACAATGACCTGGACTGGCTCATGATCTCAGACATCTTCGCCACCGCCTGGGGAGGACTCGATTATGCTGGATTTCAATCCGGAGACTCGGTTGCGATTTTTGGTGCCAGACCCGTTGGTATATTGACCGCATACTCTGCCTTCCTACGCGGTGCCACTCATGTCTATGTCGTTGACTCTGTACCTTCTAGTCTCTCGCTTGCGGCTTCCGTAGGAGCAGTCCCCATTAGCTTCAGCGAGTCGGACCCTGTGGCGCAAACCATGGCACTTGAACCTAATTGGGTCAAGCGCACAATCGATTGTGTTGGTTTCAAAGCAGTCAATGCTGAGATGAAGACTACCCAGAATATTGTGATGAATAACATGGTTGCTTTGACTACTCGGCTAGGTGGAATGTGTGGTGTTGGTGTTTGGCCCTCCTCAGCTGAGAAGAATGCTGCTGCTCCTCTTGCTGATACCATTAGCGCGGCTATGGACTTCAACTATGGGGAGTTCTGGGGAAAAGGTTTGTCTTTGAGGGCTGGTGGTATTGATGTCGTTCCTTATTTGGGAACGCTCGTAGAGATGGTGGCATCTGGCAAAGCGAAGCCTGGGTTTGTTGTTTCGAGTGTAATTGGGATTGAGGATGCGCTAGATGGTTATGCGAAGTTTTCGAGACATGAGGAACAGAAGGTTGTTATCCGGTTCCCATGGATATAATTTAATTATGGATGTGTAGATGGTTCATAGACTATGCTCTGGTGTGGGATATCATTGAAAGCCTTTCATTAGTTATTTAGAGAAGAATTAAAACGACTTCTAGAACCTCAAAGTAAATCTACACACACAAAAAGTCATTACGATCTTTTGAAACTCAAAGATTCCCTCAGCGACTTTTCGGGGCACACACCTACCGCCCCATTCTTGCAGGTCGAAATTTCGTGATAGGTAAAACTGCACTGCTAAGTAATAATGTAGTAAGCTTTCAATATCGTCCTTTTAAAATAAGCAATTACCGCATTTAGTGTTCTACACATTGCTAAATGCCCGGTGAAAACTTTTGTTGCGATATTACAAGCATATTGATATTGAAAACTGGAGAACTCGCTTATCCAAAAGCGAGTGCCTCTCTGCCTGTAATTACTGCTTCATGAAGCAGTACACTTTATAGCGAACTACCAAAGACTCAGTGACTTGCTAGAGATATTCCATAGGTCCAAGTGGGTTAACCATTTCACTCTACCACTGACTCGCGAAGCGGAAAACGCACTGGTCCTGCAAATCGTTCCTCACAGAAACGGCTTCACTTTTGCGGCTCGAAATATTCATTCTAACTACGGCTCTTAAAGCTTCATGTTACGTACAACTTGTAAGAATTAAGTAGCTTATGTGTACGAAGTTAATCAAAAGACTAAGTGAGCGATATTCATTTTCAAGAATAGAGAATGACTAGAATTCTAGATCTACTTCATATCACCATCCTTTACTAATATTTAAAAAGTACTCTCATCCACGATATTAATCAGAAAGAGCAAAAGAAAAGCCAAAATATACTTGAACAATAACCTTCAGAGTTTGAACTCTCTGACGGGGAATCGAACCCCGGTCTCCCGCGGCTTGTAAATTCTTAGTTAGGGAACTTGACAAGCGGAAATCATAACCACTAGACCATCAAAGACGTTATTTGTTTTTGGTGGGTGTGAAATGGCAAATTGAGTTCATGTACCTGCTGCTTTTGTGAAGATTTGTGGGACTCCGGTTCCGGTCTCCCGACAACCGACTTCCAACACTATCAATTACCAAAAACGTATTCTCGTCTCTGCGACTCTGGTCTAATTACCAACAGTCGTATAAACATGAAGTCGAATTAGGAAACATGAAGTATCTCAGCGCTTACGAGGATACCTTGCGCCATACCATGGGAGTGGCCAGGTGTGCCCATTTCCTGTCCAAAAATGCATCGCGAACATTCCCACGCTCTTTCACTTCTCCTTTCACTCGTCTTCAGACTTCAATCTGTAGGCTTACTGTTTTCTTACCGTCATGGACTCCGCATTACAAGCTTTTCGTGATCGTAGGAATGCGGAAAAAGCCGATGGCATTCCCGTGGCGAAGAAGGATACGCTAAAGGCACCATCAAGAAAAAATAACAATAGAATGCAAGCAGTATGGGATAAGTATGACACTCTTACATTTTTATATCCGCAAATACTGAAATTAAATAGTTATAAAGCAAAAAACCCCGACGCAGACCTCCAAGAAGGGGAGACTCTTATCGAATTTGTGTGGGATTATGCTAGGCACAGTAAAGGGAAAATCAGCGATCGCTCGTCGATACACACACTCGACCAATACATTCTGAGATTTGCTGGAATGATGAAAGTTGATCATGGAATTAAGATACCAGAGAAGAATATCGAGGACGCTAGACAGGTATGAGGACGCGCTTGTTAAACTCATGCCCAAAACTTACGAACGTAGTTTCTCAAGGGCGACCTAAAAGAAGAACTCAGTCTCAGTGATTCGCAGTACGATAAAGGATTTGCCGACTGGGAGGACATTAAAATCATCATCAAGCATGGTCTCGCCTACGATGAGCACCAGTACCACGATGAAAGACATCGTCTTCAACTTGTTTTCTTGTTTTTACTCATTTCTGATGACGGCGAAAGAATCGGTGCAATCGCACGCTCCGACTGCTACAGGGAGGAGGAAAGGGCATTGACATACAATGTAGGCATTACTAAGAATTATGCTCAACTAGAATACTAACTCGCCTACCTAGGATACTAAGCTATTCTTACTACCAGAGTCAGAGGTCACTAGGGGTTCAAGATTCAAGCTCGTGATCAAATTTTGCCTCCGAAAGAACGAACGCGACGACCCAGATAACTTGTAAGTCCCTACCAAATAACACTCAGGGTTATTGTTAATATTTTATAGTCTTATCGTACCTTAATTTTTGCGACCGGATCATGCACACTGCATCGTTACATTCTTTCTTGCTCTTGCGATCTTGGATAATGCTTTCGAAGGAATTACAACGCCAGCTGATCTTCTCAAATTAAGAAATCACACCCCTTGTGATATGCCTATTGAGTTGAAACAATCTATGAAAGCCATTCCAATCCTGAGAAGACTTTCCGGCCGTGGTAGCTCGCAACTCTCGACATATTTGCCATCTTCGTCAACCTCGATGACCGATCAAGCACAGAGATGGGTTTTTTTAGCTGGCTTTTTCCAAAGGTTCACCTTTTACTTTTGCCGGAGAGCGGTTAACAATGCCCTGACTGATGGTAAGTATTTGATACTCATTTTTAAACTTGTACTTATAAAAACCAGGAAATGTTCCAGACTCTCGACGAGACCAGCTTATGGGCCATAACGGTCCGACTTCTAAAGTCTTTAACGCGAATTATCGGTCTAAAATTCTCACCACAGATTCTGGGAACATCTTTCGGAACGAGGCCCCACGCGAAGAAAGGGCTAAGATGTTGTGCATGCGAAATCAGCGAGATCCTATGGCGCCAACGAAACCCTTACCCGCTGATATGGAAAGGATTTATGACAACAATGAAGAGATTCAGGCATTGCTTTCATTGAGACATGCGACGAAGGAACTCTCAGGCGCTGAAAAGGCCGATATTAGACGTAAGCTTTCCAGAAGGAAGGAGTCATTAAAAAAAAAGGAGACGAGAAGACTACGAGAAGCCTTCATCCAAGAAAGATCCGCAAACTGGATTCACTCGCAACTACACCAAGAAGAAGCCACTGTATCGACAGAAGAGGTTACTACATCACAAGAAACAAACCCACACGTGATTCAAAGAGCATATCTTGTCGATTGTTTGTATTCACAGTCAGCCAGCGAAGGGGATCCATTGTTTTTGGCTCTTAATGCTCTTATTTTGCATTGTACTGGGGATCGATCTCTTCGCAGCGCGCAGAGAACTGGCAACGGAACGTTTCAGCCAGGAGATGATAAACTACTCGCTTCTTCGACGAACAACTCCTCACTTCCATTGACCTGGAAACAAATTCAGCTCTATTTTCCTTCAAGATCCGAATCCAGTCTTTGTAACAGAAAACTGAACGAGGGGAAAGGCTTGAAGAGATGTTCGTTTAAGTGTTGTAAGTTTGAGAAGAGAGGTTGCAAAAGATATACTACACAGGAAGATTTACACCTTTTGAAATCACGCAGAAACTCAAACAAGCGATGGGAAGATATTGCCTTAGACATGGTCAATCGGAACAGGGCTGCTATACAGAACAGATACTATAGCTTGGTTAAATATGGAATGACCATTGAGACTCTTGAAAGAGAGATTTACGATTCACAAAACCCAAACAGTCATGGCCCACAGGATGAATCACATATCTCGGATATACCCACAAATCCGAACTCACAAAAAGAACCGAGGGGTATACGGTTAAAGTCACAAACAGGTACTACTATGGTAACTTCAGAACTTTCCCTGCATGAGACGGAGTTCGATAACACCAACTGCTTTAATCCATACTCCACGGACCTATTTCTATTCACCGCAAATACAGCCATAGATGGCGTCAATTGTCATATTACCGACGAATCAGGCCCAGAGTTAGATAATTCAGCCACCCCCTTCTCACAAGGAGCCCGGCTTAATACACTCAACTTTCCCAGTCTACACTCAACTACTCCCACAGCCATGCAACATTCCGGTTTTTCCGACGAATTCACTGCGGACACAGCGATAGATCGTCTGGAATTTGACTCATCGCCAGAGAGCCTCAGTTATTCTAACACTACCTCGATCATGGACACCCAAGAGATGCGCATTAATACACCACCTGCTACAGACTTAGCCCAGTTTGAGTTTTACTCATCGCAAGAGCCGGGCCCCGCAGACTCAAGTATGGTCAATTACGAGCTATTTCAAGAAAATACTGTGTGTCTATCTAAATTAGTAGTCAACAACTACCAGGGTTGTAATGTAAAACTTACAGACGGATCCAAGTCACTTCCTTCACCAGATGTTAGGGTTTACTCCTCGCAAGAACCTTTTCTCGTCGCGGCCGGAGGATTTCGATGTACTCTTTGCGCTAAAGACGAGTCAGCCTCCCAATATGATGTCCAGAAGATATGGGAAAGTAAGACACGCCTCCTTCGCCACCAAATGCAGGAATTCCATACTCCATACCGTCAATGGATAAGAGGGCTGAGGAACAACCAGCCTGAGGGAGTTTGCGAATTCAAATGCCCCTATCCAGACTGTCCTAAGGGAGAGGAGTATTTGTTTGGATCCATCCACGACCTCATTGCTCACGTAAAGTCAGCCGCTAAATCCCCCAAATTGCACAAGTCTATTATACACAACTTGGCAATTCGGGCTGAGGGTTGGTCAGAACCAGATTTTTTTACTAGCAAAATGCCGGACGAGCAGAAAAAAAGAGAGGCCGCTATACGACATCCCAAAAATCAATCAAGAAGCAGGAATTTCTTATTGACAGAAGCTTGAAATAAGCTGGGAAACAAAAGAAAGATCGGCTCAGATGACAGGGACTCCATGGGAGAACCATCCGCTAAGAAGGCTTGTATTTGAATGATTGGGGGGCATCTATACAAAGAAATTAGCAGATCAGAGAAACTTAGAAAGGGGATGGAATGAAAGGTTATAGGGTTTGGGCGTTCGTGGTAATCATGGAGGCGTTCTTGTTTCATTTTATTTTCTGTTATTCATTCAATTCACATTACCGTTTCGTTGAACCAATTACATTAGCCGTAGCAATCTCTTTCCTCTTCTGCTACTTCCTCTTTGAATCGATTTAACAAAACTTAAAATATTTATATTATAAATCTAACGCTCTTTTCGTTCTCCATCACCTATTCAGTTGTTCGAAAATGCGCCTCCTTTCTCTGGACTCATTGCGACTTTCAGTTTATAAATCCTATTTTTTAAAGCAAACCCAAAACGTGAATCTTGCTTCCGTCACCATCCTTCTATTCTTAGAATCGACCAAAAATCGTCCTCAGGCCACCCATCGCTTTTAAATACAACCTTATCCCCAAGCGCATCTCATACTTACATACTCACAACTAACATCAAAATGAAAGAAAACGCGAGGGTGAGATTCAAGCCTAAGAAAACACTCGGCAAGAGAACTTATATACATACGTATCAAGAAATTAGAAAGGCGTACCCACAACCCCAAGCCTGTAATTTTCCAACCTGCGATGAAGCCTTCACCGAAGATACAGCCTTGATCAAACATCTGATGGCTCATATTGATTCTCTCTTCTCATATAACATTTCATCCGAAGGTGTTAACATTCCGGGAACAGAGAGAGAGTTGCCAGCATATGATCTCCTGCCCTCGCAAACTCTACCGCAAGATCCACCCAATATCAATTCCGAATTACAGGACGATCAATGCAACAATGAACCCTTCGACTTTGAGCAGCACATGCTTTCTGATTTCCTGTACAATCAGGAGCAGTTATTCTTCCCATTCGATGAACAGCAACCTCAAGCGACCTTTTCGTCGGAGTTCTCAGCGAACCAAGCCCTAGATAGCGAACATTCGAGTTCTTTAGAGGATTGCAAAACCAAGCTTCAGGGCACATTACTTGAAAACCCACCTCTTCCCTCGGTACCACCGTCAGATGACCCACAGAGGAGGTTTTCCGAGGAAGAAGACAACCACATTAGGAAATATTGGGGGGAGAGAAGGACATGGGACGAAATTTCAAGGTCGCTTCATGACCGGACATCTTTTTCTGTGTCTGCGCGTTACAGAGACTATTTGGCAATTCCCTCGCAGATTACAGAAGAAGAAGGGATGCAATATCTATATCTGCAGTCGCAAGGTTTGAGTTGGAAGGAAATTGCAAAGTTGTCAACCCCAGGGCGCAACAAAAGCTGGAAGGCGATTCGTAATTATTTCTACTCCCAACCAGTACAATACACAGAAGAACAAATTGAGTTGGTGAAGCGGGAAAGGGGACTAAGAACTAGTTGGGTCGATATTGCGAAATTTTACCCTATATGGAGGCCTATGAAGTTGTCCCAGGATTTCTATAACCTCCTCTGAATGATTAGCTCCACATGTGTGTTTCCACAGCTGGACTGTGGGAATATAATTTCACTTTAGACAAACTTTCACTGCTTGATTCTCTCGTGCTGGTTCCATTGCGGAATATGAGGCTTCTCCACTGGTTGAGCGCCTAACTTTAGTCATCAATGTATAGATGCCCAGATGTAGAAGAATCTTTATTCAAACCCCCGCGCTATCAGAACTCGTATTCTCCTCACCGACTTCCCCCAAGGCTTTTTGAGGCTGTGGCAAGCAGAAAGCAGGGTGCTTTCTCCTCCAATCGGAGATTCCGCGTTCTTGAACCTTGGAAACAGACCCTCTCTCTCAAGGAAGGGTACTAACCGCCTGGCAAGGCAGATCACATTACCTTGCATAGTTACTATTAACTGGAAACATGCACGGCAAATCCATTCATGCTTCAGTGACTCAGAACCGGGAAAATTGGTATCCGACTTTGGAATGCCTATCTCTGAGACTGAGTCTACCTGGTCAATTCCTTGCCCTTTTTAACACAGCAGTCATCGCTATTGGCAAATCACAGCCGTTCGCACACCATTTTCAAGCCATCACATCTATCTACCTAATCATTTACAATAGAACTCACACTCTCGGTTCATTATTCAAGCTATACACTCTTACGACCCGATACAATCTCTAAATACAACATTTACAACGGAAAAATACGAAATTGAAAAATATATTGATTATAACATATCCACCTTGCTTGAAAACTAAACCAAGTGCAATTTAACAATAATGTAATATGGCTTCCCAATTCTGTAAATACCTGTGAGCTATAGTGTCTTGTAATTGGCGTGGCTGTTTCCAACTTTTGATTTTCAGATCCCGTGCGCCGTAGCTGGACGCCATAGTGCGCTTTAAAAAAATTCTGCGAGGCTCTGATTGGCGTGGCCATTTCCAACTTTTGGTTTTCAGATCCCCATGTAGCTGGACGCCATAGTGCGCTTTAAAAAAATTCTGCGAGGCTCTGATTGGCTCGTTTGAAGTAAGCGGCCCCCCTGTTTTCCAAAAGCCGGAACCCCTCGCGGCCAGTGACTATATCAACAAGAGATAGTTTAATAAGATGTATTCTATAGCGATGCAATTGTCGTAGGCGGCTTTTACGCCCAGTAAGTTTCATATCACCGCATTGAAACGCTGTAGCAACCTTTATCTAATCCCTCTGAACAGTTGACTGTCTAATTTATGCTTAGCCACTGACAAATTCTTTTCAAGCAGGACAAAGCGACAGTTTATATTCACGAATATCTCTGAGAGGTTGCAGGTGGGCCACTCGACGTATAAACCCGCACATTATCAAAGGGATGGGGTGGTTTCAATTTTATACATTCTACGGAAAAGAATTCGTCACGCACAGTATACCAGCACTACCATAAAGATCTTCTCCATGAATACCGAACCTGAGTCTTCCTCCCAGCTCCTCGTTTCGAACGGAACTTACTGCCCTCATCCGTCTATTTTCAATCTAATTCCGGATCCCGCTAGGGCGAGATCGCAATTCAATGGCTCAGATAGTGTGCAAACCAAAACAAATGGAACCAGGATCTTCTCTTCTGCTAATTCAGCAAAGCATCGTTCGACTTCCATCTTGGCATCATCCTTCGCCGGTGTGATCACAATGATGCCACGGGGGCGAATATCTAACAAAAATTGCATCGCTTGAAGGGAGAAGGTTTCCAAGTCGACGGCAAGAAGGATTTTAGATCTTAGAGAACCTCCTAGCTCGACCAAGCTTCGTACGTATATGATGTCATGGGCGGCGTTGAAGACTAAACGGCTGGGTATGTTGGATGGGGTCTCGGGTTGGACGCTGATTGATGAACTAGGACCAGCCAACGCTCTAGAGATGCAGCATGTGTTGCGGATAGATACGAAATCATCTGTGAATTCGTGGAAACACTCGAAGCTCGCGGTATGGTTGCACTATACGGGGTGTTGTTGACAGGCTGTAGAGGACCAGCACGGATCGCGAGCGGTGCAGTATGGTTTGAGGGGTGATGTGTTCTCATCTTGTGAAGATATTCGATTGCAGTAGATCTTGTAATCTTTGTTGTTTGAAAGAGCAACGATATCGTGTATCCGAGTTTGGTGAATTGCCAAGGCCCAGATTTTGGTTTGGAGCTTAAGCGAAAGGCGGGAAAATTGGCGAAAAGGCATTTTTTCTCTTTCAAAGTAAGGATAACACGAGGCGGTTGAATGTTTCCTCAGTGCTTGGGGTTGCATTTATTGACTGTGGACTCTCATCACAATCAAATTCTGCCTTGCTGCTCCGAAAGAAGCCAGCTGAAGTTTCACATAAATCTTGGAGCCATGATGGCACCATCATTTCCTGATCGCATGAATCTTTCCCAGCGCTTAGTGGAACTTCCGGGGCTGTGAGGGAAGTGACGTATGCATCTGCGTAAGAAGGGAGGTCGGAAGAAAGCGTTTGACATGTGTGGGTGGGGGTACTTTGGGTGGTTAAATAGAACGGCTACCTCACTTGCAAATATTTCAATCAAATCCTTATCTCTTAGTAATTTCACTTGTGCCTACGTTGATATTCCATCCCATTACTACCATCATCATCGACAATGTCTTTTCAGCCGATTGTAGCTCGCGCTGATTCTCCGATCTCCGCCTCTTCATCTAAACTCGCAATCAGTTATTTGACCAACTCAAATCCTGAACCAGCTCTCGAACAATCTATTTCTATGGACACGGAAGCACAGAGGACTACGGGAGCCCCTTTGATCAAAGTTGAGCCTGCTGAGCCAGTCATTGGCGCCGACGACCACGCTACCAACCCCGAGGCAGTGCACCTCGTTGAGACTCTCTTGGCCAAATTCGAGCAAGCCGTTGTCGATCACTCAACGCCTATCAAGACTGAAACACCAATCGCTGCAGCGCTACCACCCATGGATGAGCTCTCCGTCACAGCGATGACCCTAGAAAAGCAAATCTTGGTCGACACTCAAGACCTCATCGAACAAAATCACTATACCGCTAAGGGGGAAGCTGTTACAATGATTGCATCCTCCGACCAAGAATCTTCCGAAACTGAAGGAGACCTAGAGAGTGTAGCCAAAAGGAGATGCTCCGGGTTGAAGGCCCCTAAAAGTAAGCGGTCGCTGATAAAATCCAAAGATGAGCCATTCTGACCGATATCTTTTATAGGAAAGAGCAATCATTTAATTACACGTGGAGAAAAAGTTGAAGCTAGAATCACAAGGTCGAGTGCCGCCAGAAGTAAGTAATCTTTAGTAACGTCCATCCATGCGTAACGAGAAACCACCCGTGCCGAGAAATTTTGTAGGTATTTCACCTTCAAACTAAAAAAAAGCTGAACACACATAGGCGACTCTAATATAATTTGTACTAGCTATATTCTATAGTCAATTCTAAACATATTGAGACCCTTCACTAAGAAAAATAATAATACAAGCTATTCTTAGCTTGATTTATAGTATGCCTTTGCTTAAAGTCCATAATACAGTTCCTTTCTCAAACCTCCACCCTAGTACTTCTCTCACTTCTACTTTCTCTATAGGATGTCACCTGAGTTATATGTATCAAATACCATGCCTGAAATTATTTTCAAGCCTTGTGGCGGCTATACCATGCAGATTTATCTAAAAGACACGTGACTCTGATTTACAGTCGCTTGCAAAATCGGCTTCGCGTAGTTTTGCTTCGAAAGTTCAGAGCACTGACTATCTCGCCATTTTTGGCTGACTGTAAATGGTTGCTACATGATATGTACTGTGTGTCGCGTGACTTATGACGTGGACGAAGTTATCCACCTACAGTACTGTGATGCTCAAATAGCCATTTCATTTATCTCTGCACGTCGCGTGACTGATTGATTACGTGGATGATATTGCTACCTACGAGCTTATACTAGAAGGTTCTAGAAGCAAATGACAGCTATAGAATTACTATAAATTATCAGGCTCCCCTAGAACCCTCTATGGAAGAGAGGAAAAAAGAAAAAGAGATATTATATTGAGAGCTTCACGTATTATTTATTAACAAGTACAAATTCTATTTTCTATATTACAAGCTTAAGTCGTTGTTCAAACTGAAGAACTAACAATCCTCCTGTGGAAAGTCCTAACGCAATAATTCCACCCCATGTAGCTTGACAAGTAGGTCTATAACCAGTAGGTAGCCAGAGAAAATTAGTAGTGCCATCTGCTAGCCAGTTCTCAGAAACGTGTAAGGTTGGGATCTGCTTGCCGTCAGGGGAGAAGGCGACTGAGGTGACGGTTTGAGTATGGCCCTCGAGGGCTGGCAGTAGCTGCTGTCCCGTGGCTGCGTCCCAGCGCCGGACGGTCCTGTCCCAAGACCCAGACACGATCTGCTTGCCGTCAGGGGAGAAGGCGACTGAGGTGATGACCCAATCAGTATGGCCCTCGAGGGCTGGCAGTAGCTGCTGTCCCGTGGCTGCGTCCCAGCGCCGGACGGTCCTGTCCCCAGACCCAGACACGATCTGCTTGCCGTCAGGGGAGAAGGCGACTGAGCTGACCCAATCAGTATGGCCCTCGAGGGTTTGTAGCATCGCATTCCAGTACATTTCGACTCTAGGCTTTGTCTGGATCCAAGGTGGAATACAGCTCTCGAACGCTTCTCGAACAATGCTCTTCTCTGGTGCGAAAACAAGAGCTGAACAATACGCTTGAAGAGGCGCTTGTTCAATAATTGATCGGGTGGATACGGCAAAGCGCCTAGCATCGTGTATAAACGCATGTACGTTAGGGCTTTCATTGAACTTGTTCATGTTAGTAGAGTCTTCTATAAAGGCATCCTCAAAATCGTAATATAACTTACCTTAATCCAGTTCTCAAGCTTCATTATCATCACGATACTATCTGGCAAGCTTTTCATTAAGCTGAGCCCCTCAAGCCAGAATAGATAACTCCTTTTTAAAAACAGATGAACGGAGCCACCGTCTACAACATCATTCGTAGTGTGTCCTCTATCACAGTCAAGTAGATGGTCAACCCAATAGAGACAGGAGTATTGCGCTGCTGCGAGTGGATCTGGATCTGGCGGCTCGACCATTTCAATCTGGAATCCAGGGGCGCGCAATTCGTAGATGTCGCGTCGAAGCGTTTTAGACATAATCTCGAGTGATTTTGAGAACATAGTATAGGTTATATCCGCCATTCCAGATGGAAATACTCTATCAAATGCCCTTTCAAGTAAGAAGTCCTTTGCCGACTGATGGATAAAATACGTCCGATTCTCTCGTATAGTGAGAAACGAGCCGCATTTATTGACAACCTTCACGACTTTATCGAGATTGGCAGACATTTTCTCAGGCAGATCAGAGAGGGCCCCTACCTCGAGCAGGTGGAGTGGGCGGTACGCAAGCGTTATAGTAGAAAGGACGAGACGGCAGAACACTGGATCGCTGTGTTGTAGCTGTTCAACCTGACATAGCATCCGATTATAGAGTGGTTCTAGCTCTGGCGGCATATCCTGAAGCACATCGAGCACGTCCCAGCTCTCTACGGGCTCAAGCTCCTTTAAGACAAGAGCTGCCCAAAGAAATGTCCC